GGATGTACCACCGACCACACACCATTCATTTAAGTCAAATTCAGAAGTCCATGACAAGATGTACCACTGACCACACACCATTCATTTAAGTCAAATTCAGACGTTCCATGACAGGATGTACCACTGACCACACAACATTCATTTAAGTCAAATTCAGAAGTCCATGACAAGATGTACCACTGACCACACACACACCATTCATTTAAGTCAAATTCAGAAGTCCATGATAGGATGTACCACTGACCACACACAATTCATTTAAGTCAAATTCAGACGTTCCATGACAGGATGTACTACTGACCACACAACATTCATTTAAGTCAAATCCAGAAGTCCATTACAGGATGTACCAATGACCACACACACACCATTCATTTAAGTCAAATTCAGACGTTCCATGACAGGATGTACCACTGACCACACAACATTCATTTAAGTCAAATCCAGAAGTCCATGACAGGATGTACCACTGACCACACACCATTCATTTAAGTCAAATTCAGAAGTCCATGACAAGATGTACCACTGACCACACACCATTCATTTAAGTCAAATTCAGAAGTCCATGACAAGATGTACCACTGACCACACACCATTCATTTAAGTCAAATTCAGACGTTCCATGACAGGATGTACCACTGACCACACACCATTCATTTAAATCAAATTCAGAAGTCCATGACAAGACCACGCAAATTCGACCATGCAAAAACACTTCTGAGAGAGTTGCATTGGCTGCCGGTGCGTGCTCGCATAGAGTACAAAATCGCAACTTTGTGCTACCGCTGCTTACATGACCTGGCGCCGTCCTATCTGAAAGAGCTGCTGACGCCTTATGTACCCAGTAGAGAGCTCCGCTCATCCGATAGTGGCAAACTCTCGACACCACGTGTTTGCCTTGAGACTTACGGAAAGCGCACTTTCGCATTTGCTGGTCCAACAATTTGGAACGCCCTTCCTGTCGATCTTAGAAACAACCAGACACTGGAGTCCTTTAAAACAGATCTAAAGACACATCTATTTCGCAAATACCTTCTGGGATGATTGTCTACCTTATTTTCCATGTGTTGCTGTGTTGCTCCGGGTTGAAATGGCTAGAAAGACTTTGATATTGTATGCTTGTAATTAGTTTTTGTAGTGTTGTGTTTGTTTTAAATGTGGTGAATTATAGATATGTTTTTTGTTGACTTTGTACCGCGCTTCGAGCCTTTGGGGATGAAGCGTGTTTTTTTAAATGAACTTTATTATTATTATTATTATTAAGATGTACCACTGACCACACACCATTCATTTAAGTCAAATTCAGAAGTCCATGACAGGATATACCACTGACAACACACCATTCATTTAAGTCAAATTCAGAAGTCCATGACAAGATGTACCACTGACCATACACCATTCATTTCAGTCAAATTCAGACGTTCCATGACAGGATGTACCACTGAACAAATATCATTCATTTAAGTCAAATTCAGAAGTCCATGACAGGATATACCACTGACCACACACCATTCATTTCAGTCAAATTCAGAAGTCCATGACAAGATGTACCACTGACCACACACCATTCATTTAAGTCAAATTCAAACGTTCCATGCCAGGATGTACCACTGAACACATATCATTCATTTAAGTCAAATTCAGAAGTCCATGACAGGATGTACCAATGACCACACACACACCATTCATTTAAGTCAAATTCAGAAGTCCATGACAGGATGTACCACTGACCACACACCATTCATTTAAGTCAAATTCAAAAGTCCATGACAGGATGTACCACTGACCACACACCATTCATTTAAGTCAAATTCAGAAGTCCATGACAAGATGTATCACTGACCACACACCATTTTATTTAAGTCAAATTCAGAAGTCCTTGACAAGATGTACCACTGACCACACACCATTCATTTAAGTCAAATTCAGACGTTCCATGACAGGATGTACCACTGACCACACATCATTCATTTAAGTCAAATTCAGAAGTCCATGACAAGATTACCACTGACCACAGACACACCATTAATTAAGTCAAATTCAGAAGTCCTTGACAAGATGTACCACTGAGCACACACAATTCATTTAAGTCAAATTCAGACGTTCCATGACAGGATGTACTACTGACCACACAACATTCATTTAAGTCAAATTCAGAAGTCCATGACAGGATGTACCAATGACCACACACACACCATTCATTTAAGTCAAATTCAGAAGTCCATGACAAGATGTACCACTGACCACACACCATTCATTTAAGTCAAATTCAGAAGTCCATGACAGGATGTACCACTGACCACACCATTCATTTAAGTCAAATTCAGAAGTCCATGACAAGATGTACCACTGACCACACACCATTCATTTAAGTCAAATTCAGAAGTCCATGACAGGATGTACCACTGACCACACACCATTCATTTAAGTCAAATTCAGACGTTCCATGACAGGATGTACCACTGACCACAAAACATTCATTTAAGTCAAATTCAGAAGTCCATGACAGGATGTACTACTGACCACGCACCATTCATTTAAATCAAATTCAGAAGTCCATGACAAGATGTACCACTGACCACACACCATTCATTTAAGTCAAATTCAGAAGTCCATGACAGGATATACCACTGACCACACACCATTCATTTAAGTCAAATTCAGAAGTCCATGACAAGATGTACCACTGACCATACACCATTCATTTAAGTCAAATTCAGACGTTCCATGACAGGATGTACCACTGAACACATATCATTCATTTAAGTCAAATTCAGAAGTCCATGACAGGATATACCACTGACCACACACCATTCATTTAAGTCAAATTCAGAAGTCCATGACAAGATGTACCACTGACCACACACCATTCATTTAAGTCAAATTCAGACGTTCCATAACAGGATGTACCACTGAACACATATCATTCATTTAAGTCAAATTCAGAAGTCCATGACAGGATGTACCAATGACCACACACACACCATTCATTTCAGTCAAATTCAGAAGTCCATGATAGGATGTATCACTGACCACACACCATTCATTCAAGTCAAATCCAAAAGTCCATGACAGGATGTACCACTGACCACACACCATTCATTTAAGTCAAATTCAGAAGTCCATGACAAGATGTACCACTGACCACACACCATTTCATTTAAGTCAAATTCAGAAGTTAATGACAAGATGTACCACTGACCACACACCATTCATTTAAGTCAAATTCAGACGTTCCATGACAGGATGTACCATTGACCACATATCATTCATTTAAGTCAAATTCAGAAGTCCATGACAGGATATACCACTGACCACACACACACCATTCATTTAAGTCAAATTCAGAAGTCCATGACAGGATGTACCACTGACCACACATCATTCATTTAAGTCAAATTAAGAAGTTCATGACAGGATGTACCACTGACCACACACCATTCATTTAAGTCTAATTCAGAAGTCCATGACAGGATGTACCACTGACCACACACACACCATTCATTTAAGTCAAATTCAGAAGTCCGTGACAGGATGTACCACTGACCACACACACACCATTCATTTAAGTCAAATTCAGAAGTCCATGACAGGATGTACCACTGACCACACACACACACCATTCATTTAAGTCAAATCCAGAAGTCCATGACAGGATGTACTACTGACCACACATAATTCATTTAAGTCAAATTCAGAAGTCCATGACAGGATGTACCACTGACCACACACACACCATTCATTTAAGTCAAATCCAGAAGTCCATGACAGGATGTACCACTGACCACACACACACCATTCATTTAAGTCAAATTCAGAAGTCCGTGACAGGATGTACCACTGACCACACACACACCATTCATTTAAGTCAAATTCAGAAGTCCGTGACAGGATGTACCACTGACCACACACACACCATTCATTTAAGTCAAATTCAGAAGTCCGTGACAGGATGTACCACTGACCACACACACACCATTCAAATTCAAACGGTCCATAAAAATTGACAATGTATAACCGGTCCTTAAAACGTTAGGATGACCGGATTAAAAAAAAAAGTAACATTCATTCCAATGCTTTTAAAGCTTAACTAAATCCAGAATTCTCTTAAAATAATAAAGATAACATTTTTACAAAAATACATTCTTCATTTTCCATGTGTGCCTTTCCGTCAAGCCCTCATACCAACCTTCATCTCATACCAACATTCATTTCATACCAACATTCATTTCATACCAACATTCATTTCATATCAGCCTTCATCTCATGCCAACCTTCATGTCATACAAACCTTCATCTCATACAAACATTAATGTCATGCCAATCATCGTCTCATATCAACCTTTATCTTATACCACCCTTCATTTCATACAAGCCTTCATCGCATACAAATCTCCATCGCATACAAACCTTCATCTCAAACCAACATTCATCTCATGCCAAACTTCATCTCATACCAACCTTCATCTCATGCCAACCTTCCTCTCATACCAACCTTCATCTCATACAAACCTTCATCTCATGCCAACCTTCCTCTCATACCAACCTTCATCTCATACAAACCTTCATCTCATGCCAACCTTTATCTCATACAAACCTTTATCGCGCCATCATCATAATAATTTTAAGCTTCCACAGGTGTACTTAATTATGTCAGGTTCATATGCTATATCAGACCTGCACAACATACGGCCCGTGGGCCAGATGCCGCCCATCAACACCAACTTTGCGGCCCGCGAAGTAACAAAATATTCTTTATTCTTTTTATTTTATTAATAGCTTTCCCCCCCTGTCCTATTTTCTTTTGGCCCGCACAAGTTTTCTTAAAGTATTACGGCCGGCCTTACATTTTGAGTTGTGCAGGCGTGGGCTATATGTTGTGTAAAGTACCTATTATAACCTTCCCTGAAATTGTCAAATATTTCCTCAAAAAAGTCTTAATAAATGTATATCCTATTAAATTACTTTGATTTTTCCACCACACATTGCAACAATTTTTTCAATGAACATAATCAAGATTTATTCTGCGCTTTAAAGGCTAACAAGAGTAACATTGGATACCAAGACACAGGTAATATCACATTAACAGTTTACAGAGAAAATTGCAGGCAAGGGTTGAACAAACCAAAAATAATTTACAAGGAAATAGTTTTAATTTTCGATTGTAGTGTAGTCTGGCTAAGAAAAACAGGAATCAAATTTAAGAATTCAGGCATAAGGCTCATTTTTTTTCAGCTGCGAATGTGACTAGGCCCCATACCTTTGGCTATGCCTGAAGCAACCAATAAAAAATGTATTGAAGTAAAAGGGTTAATATTAATCTCATTGGATAACAAGACATAGATAATATCCCTTTAACAATATATAAAGACAATTGCACAAAAGGGTTGAACAAATTACAAATAATTTAGGAGGAAAAACATTTTTTTCTCTATAAAATTATCAAGACATAGATAATATCACATTAACAGTTTGACATAGATAATATCTCATTAACAGTTTGTAATAGATAATATCTCATTAACAGTTTGAAATAGATAATATCACATTAACAGTTTGACATAGATATTATCACATTAAAATATACAAAGAAAATTGCAGGCAACGGTTGAACAAATTAAAACAATTAAGAAGGAAAAAAATATTTTTTTCTATCCCAATCTGGCTAAAAAAAACAGGAATCAAATATGAGAATTCAGGCATCAGGTTCATTTTTTTTTTCAGCCGTGACGGCTAAAGGAACCAATAAAAAAGATGAGTGAAGTAAAAGGGTTAATATTAATCTCTTTGTATACCAGAAAAAATAACTTGATAGTGCCAGTATCAAATCTGATAAAATAGTATAATGTATAACAGTTATCAAAAGTTTTTCTAGTCCAGTTACGAAAATAAACAACCATTATTGTGAGGTCCTTGTTATAGTATTAGTAGCCACTGCCCTAGAAATTTAAATAACACACTTTGAGAAAGCATAAAACAAAATCACATGACTACTAAGAAACAATTATTTAAGTATTTCTCCTTCACCACTGAACTAATAGAAATTAATGTCTAGGAATATTGAGTGTATTATACAAATGGTCCACTTTGCCTTCAAGCCTATCAATTTTTGCATCAATTCCTTTGACCAAAAGTAATAATTGCTCCGTATTTTCTGTCAAAGTTTCTATGGCTGAAACATTAGTTAAATATTCCGTACTAGCAGCCGAATTTAATCTTTCAGGAATTCTGGAACCATCTATTGAGCTTCTATTTATTTCCTGATTTCTATCAATCTCTTTATTTACTGATGGAGAAGAACTATGGTCTTCATCCTCATCACCTCTAGTTTCTTCTAATTGTGAAGCATTTTCACTTTTACTTTCACCCTGTAAATCTGTGTCCCTGTGGCCTTCCTGACATTCTAGCTTATCGAAATATTTGTCATCAAGCACCTTGACAAGATTTCTGTGACCATTTGTATAAAGGACCCTCAGGAAAACATGGAACCAGTCTTGCTTTAAGCGATGAATAGAGTCAAGTAAAATGAAAGCAGCATCTAATGGTGACTTATTTAAGTAACAGGTTTGCACTCTCTGACGCATCTCATCATTGATAACAGACTCAGAAAAAAGTTCCTGGGCCAACAGGTTTGCGTCAATAGTTTCTTGAATTTTATTACTGAACAGGCCCATAATCTGAAAGATGAAAAAAATGATAACCAAGAAGATCATTTAACAGGTGACAAACAGATGAATTTTGGGTTGAGTTCTTATTTATACCAGAAATAGTCTACTCAAATTATTATCTTGTTACAATTATACAGACATTTTAAATAAAAAAAGTATGTCAAAATACTTGATAGTGGTACAAGTTTTTACCAAAGAAATTCTATCAGATAATTTTAATGCCAAAATGAATATCCAGGAAACTACAAACATCGAAATGTATTGTAAAAATAATTTAACTAGAGTCCTGCATTAGCCAGTTGAAAGTCTCTAAATTTTAACAAATTTTCATTACATTTGATTAAGCAGGAAAGGCTGTTTATTATCTTATTGCTTACTATGTGATTATCTTGTTTTATTAACAGTATTCACTATGAAAATATGATCTTATAAATTTCACATGAATAAAGTTATAGAAAAGATGCAGTTAAAGTGATTTGGAAAATATTTTCTGTAAGTGTTGCATTGAAAAAGATATGACCAAAAAATGGCTGTCAATAATCAAGTGTTATATTGATTCATTTTTTTAGACTTTATAGCAGGGGTCTCAAACTCGCGGCCCGCTGGCCATTTGCGGCCTGCAAGATGATATTTTGCGGCCCGCTACATGACAGCAAAGTCTAGTGCAATGCGGCCCGTGATTTTTCTCCATACTCATCTATAATGTGACCCTTTGTGAAAGTTTCAGTCGAATCTCACCGACTGGTATAATTCTGATTTTAATTGTGTTTTTATAGATTTAGATTTTGAGTATAATGGTAAAAACCGTTTCAAAACCAGACTAAAAGTTTTTATTTTATAGCATTTTATGAGAAAAATGTGGCCAAAGTGTGGTTTTCAGAAAAATTTCATAAGTCAGTGGGTAATGCACAACCATAATGTTTAAATCGTAGCAATCTGGCACAGTATCAAAGAATCCCTATTAAAAGTGCCCCTACTGTTAACGATTGAGGGAAACTCCGAGCCTGTCAACTTGGTTCCATTTCAAAATAGGGATTAGTCAAAAAGGCCTTTTCTGCGATAAAAATAAATAAAAAATTTAATAAAAATTCATTCTCCCTACAATAGCATCTTCCTTTGCATCAATAATTCATAAATATTGCCTGCTCCTGCCTACTGTTTGAACACGTTTTAGTCTTCAAAGCCTTCATAGAGGAGGATGGGGTGGTTGTTCCTGTACTACGTGATACCAAATGGCTTATGGACTTGGCTTTTCTTGTTGACACTACACAGAAGCTGTATGTACTCAACAAGAAGTTACAAGATCAGGGGTAGCTTGTCAGTGTTGCCTATGACAATGTCCAAAGTATGGACAATTTATGAGAGCGTTGCCCTCCACCTTCACTGAGATTTCCAGGTTGTTCAAGCGGATCATGTGGTTTTTTGGGAGTACCTATCTGTGTGAAAAGCTCTTTTCCAACTATGAAATTTACAAGTCAAAGTTCAAGGCGAAACTTACTGATGAGCATCTTCACTGAGGGTCTATACTGAGAGTCTCAGTTGCTTCCTCACTCAAGCAAATGTTGCTCAGCTTTGTAAGAAGCGCTGCCAGATCTCTGGCAACTAGGGGTAGGGGGAAGAAAGTGAAGCCTAGTTCTTGAGAACCCTTAATGTTTTAATTTGTTATCAATACAGGTTGAGCAGATTGTATTAGTTGTACTTTATTGAATTTGTAATCGCATTTTTTTTTTTTTACTTGATACTGCCCAGTCTTACTCAAGACTCTACCTCCTGCGGCCCCCCGGATCATTTGAGTTTGAGACCCCTGCTTTATAGGTAAGATATATATTTGAAGTATTTGAAATCAAAGTTTAAAAATGGCCATTCCATAACTGACAGTACCGTAATTAAATTTACTGAAGTTTTTACTTTTGAAATTAAAAAAAAAAAAATTTAAGCTGCACTTAACTTAATATTATTTTAAAAAAGAGAAAATTAACTAGTATCTTTTGCAAAGAGTAGATTTAAAATTTCACCTTCACATGTTCAGAGTCATTACCAACCGACTGGCCCTCAAGAGCTTGATAAATGATTTCATAACGTGCATCCTTTAGAGCATCTTTAAATTCCTAATCAAGGGAAAAATTAATTTTTAAATTTTTAAACAACACATGTATTATATTTATTTATTTTTTTACACCAGGTCAGGGTATTTTGAGAAAATACCCAGTGGGTCCAAGTGTAACCATAAAAAAAAGAGTTGACTTCTCATTTTCTATGATACCCAACGAAATCAACCGCCCAGTGTCGTAGTGATAGTGCACTGCCTTCGCCAACGATTTGTGTCAAGAAATAACCCACTGATAGGAATGGGCGTTTACCAGGTAAAAACTGTCAACTAAAAAGATAGTCATTCATTTTATAACGAAGACTTATGAAACAACAGTTGCAGTATAGCAACCTATTTACTGGAGTTCAGGCATGAAGCTCACAGAGTGGCGGAGGAAAATGAACAATAAAAACACAGAATAAAAATCAACCTATTTACCAGAGTTCAGACGTCATGCATGAACCTCGCTGACGCCTTTTTTTTCCCACTCAGTACTATTAATATAAAACAAATAGAGTGGTGGGAGGGGGTGTTGAAGAGGAAGCTGGACATACCAGAAGCAAAATATATATAAGAGATACTTAAAGTTAAAGATATAAATGTGTTTATTTATTTTCAATAAAATGAATAGAATCAACAAGCTACACAACACACCTAAGATGAGGTCTGAATAATAATATTATACTAGCTCATGGGGAATAGTAACATCCTGAATTGTGAATATTTAGTGGAAGAGCATTTTGAGCACTTATTTAAATTACACAAATAATCAAAACAACAAAGAAATAAACCTGATATTTCCCTGGACCTTCCACATCATCTTTCAAATGATCCAGTAGAGCCTTTATAGCTAAATTAGGAGTGCTGATGCTGATTGAGAAGATTTTTGAGGCAAAATCTCTGAGGCAGGGCATTCTTGAAAGTATGTCATTTGCTCTGACTTTCTCCTCAATAAATGGTCGATAAACAACATTTATCAAATAGCCCAAGTTGTCACTAGAATCGTCAGGCCTGAGGAAGGGTAATGTTAAATAAATTTACATTATTCTACATTGGTTATAATAACGGTGTAAAGACAGCAACTCATCATATCAATTCAAAATAATTGCACAATGCAATCATGTAGTGGCACAGCAAACAGAAATTGTCAGTGCCTTAAATGTGAAGATTACTTTTTATTCAAAGATTGATTAAAACAAAGCTGTTACTGGCACTAATTTAAACATCCTGGAGTCTTGGTTAAATAGCTTATTATTTTGGATCATTAAGCACTGCAGAATTAAATATCTAAGGTCGGTGCTTTCTAATTAAAATGAATGGCAGGTAAAGTGGCTTTACATTTTTTTAAAAAAAAGTTCTCTTTGCTTGCCAAACATTTTTTAAAAATGACAGTAAATGTTGGACAGCTTTAATGCTCATCAGGCTAAAAAATTGTAAGAAGTTAATAATTACACTCTGCAGCTACCCGTCCAGCTTTCAGCAAAATTTGCTGATATGGATATATCACGAAGAATCATTGCGAATCTTAAGTCACTACATTTAAGAAATAAGATCTCTTGAGTTTAAATAGACTTAACTGTACAAAAAAAGGGTCATTTTTAAACGTTATAAATCAGAAATGTATCAAATTCCTTTGAAAGCTGTTTCTCAAAATATAACTTACTCATTTTCTGTGTCATCACCATTCTCCTGCAATGGTTCCATCATAACTGTCAGGTAAGGAGTTTAAAGGAGTCGTCGCCTATTAATGCCAGTGAGTCTGGTTCATTCTGTCATTCACACAGCTTGAACGCAGCCCTTCATTTATTATTCATTCTATTAGTATTTTAGGGAATGTAAGCATAAAATGAATTTTTTTTAGTGAATTTATTTCATTACAGAGGCTATCATTTATTCCAATCCAGATCTGGTACCGGGTACCTAAGCCTTGCCCCCACTTTTTTCCTGTATCAATTTTTGTTGTTGTAGGCCTAACAACACTTACTAACACTTAGTCTATCTTAATTCTTAAACAATGAACAAAAGGTTTAAACTAAAGGAATGGAAAAAAAAAAATAAAACATTGATATCGCATATTGTTATTCATCATGTCAGCAAGTAGACTATGCTGTATCATACTGTGACCGTAGGCGTAGTGGACATATAATTAATGATAATTATGTGCTAGGGGTAGGCAGGGGCTAGAGGCTAGGGCAGTAGGCTAGACATTTCTTCCCAAATTGTTTGGATCACGTGTCAGTCAGTGTCTTATTTTCAAACACATTGGCATATAATAATAATCATAAATTTATTTAAAAGGATATAAGTATAAGAAGAATATGAATGAATTTATTTTTAAAAATCAATATAATAAATAGGATCACAAGTCAAGCAAAACAATTATTTTTATTATAAAATGCAGCAATAAAAGTTATCTCCGATGCCGTAACTTTATTTATAAAGACTGTAATTGCCTATAATTGTAATTGAATTAGGCAACTGCTTTTTAGTTTTAGCCATTGGCTTTTTTAAAAGTCTTTTAACAATCAATTAAGGCTTTCAATTTATAATATTAATATACCGAGTATTTTTAAACAATATTTAAAAGGTGCTTGGCATAGTAAAAATTATTTTTTAAACATAACAGTCATAGTCATAACTTATTTAACTTATAATTAATAATGTAACTCACTTTTTAATTTTGTTACCGTACTTACGTACGTTAATTAATATGAATCTTAATATTATTGATATGCCTATATTCCATTATAATTATAATATTTCAATAAATCAATGGCCTACTATTATTTATTAAGGCAGGCTTAAGTAAGACAATGTAATATTAATATTAAAGTGGAGGGTATGAAATGAAGTATGAGTATGAGTATGATAGTAACATTTCATGGGAACCCTGTCTGGGTTAATACCAAAAATAAAAGATACTTCTATTTTTTTTAAATTATAAATGACAATAAGTTCCCAATAACCGATTAATAATTAATTTGGGCGATGTGTCTGTAACTGTTAGGTTAGGTTGTGGAACTGCCCAACAATGACAATGCCAATATTTCAAGAATTGCAATTAATAATTAACTCATACTGTACTCTGACGGAATCTTCATTACTTTATTCCATACTGGTCGCCACAAATATATCATTTTAGCGCATCGATTTACTTGAACTGAATATAAAAAAATCCACTACTCTTTCACTAAAGAATACTATGATAATGATAGCATTATTAATTTGAAAAAACATTGTTACATTTTATTCCTTCAAAAAACAACAACATTCAACCTACAATAAAGAAAGTAGAAGTTCAGCATCGGGAAACCCCAGTACATGATTGGGACGTGTACTTTAAAGGTAGCAGCTTAACCGATATATGTGATATATTTTAGAAAAGAGTTGAGATAGTTCCTTAAATACCCAATTCAAAGTCAAAAGACTCCTAAATAAAATGTGTTGATGCCTTTTTTATTACTCAGAAATAAGCAGTGATCTTGAAGTCTTAGGTATTTAATACTGTAGTGTATTAGTCAGTATTAGTATGTATTATTATGTAATAGTATAGATTAGTATTGTTTTTCTTTAGAAACTTATGGAGATCATCCATCAGAACCGTCGACTGGGCCTTGCAACCCCAGGGTCAGGTTTTTATTGGACCCAAATTTGCAATGTTTAAAAAAACTAAAACTAGCAACTTTAAATGCAGAGGGCACGAAACCGAAAAGTGAAGGGACCCCAAAAGTCAGGCGACGGCTTTGCATAAGTAACCATAAAAAATAATTGAAATATCATAATCATAGTGTCGGATCAACTAATTTAAAAGACACAAGCACGTGCCTAAGGCCTAAGGGACACGTACCGTTTAGGCGCCCAGTGACAAGGTATCCATGTCTCTTTTAATATATTTTGGTTGGGAAGGGGCTTGATGATCTTGAACATACTTGAAGACCTCAAGGGAAAAAACGGCAGAGTCCATTTTTAATTTTTTTGAGTTATCACCCCTGACTTATAGCCAGTTAAAAATAGAAGGTGCTGAATTAAGTTTAAAGGAGAAAAAATGGCTAAGTCCATAAGAAAAATGGAAACGAAAAATCCGTTTACAATGGAAAAAGAAGCATAGTCCAATGTTTACAATGGAAAAAGGGGCTAAGTCACTAATATCACGTGACATTTGAAGTCACGTGATTTAAAGGTCCAATGAGAGATAGCTATAGTGTAAACAAAATTTAAAGATGGCGACCGATTCGCTCAGCTGACCGAGAAACCGACGAAAAAGTTAACAGACAGACCTGAATTTTTTTTATTTCCTACCACAAGAAAACAAAACAAATTAACATAAGCACGATAAATGGACTTAAAACATTAACACAAATAAATTTTTTATTTTTAAATCGCATTTTACCCTTGTTTTGTTATGTTCAGTTAATTAATGTGTATATCCGTCTCGTCTCTTTCGCTGTCGCTCTAACACTAGTCAAGTCTAGTCTATCACTTTTTGTTGCATGTCTGTGTCTCTCCTTGTCAGTCTATCTCAGTTAGTTTGTATATTTCTCTCCCTTTCGCTCTAACTCTGTGTCTGACTCCCCCTGAACTCTTTATCTTCGAGTGTCTGTCTTGCTATCTCGGTCTGTTACTCTTTACTGACTTAACTCTTAAACTTAAGTTCATACAGTTACAGCTACTGCTAGAGGAAAAAAACTAATATTGGGCCAAAATTGTAAGAAGCATATCAGAAACTTAGAAAGTATGATTTTATATCTGATTTTCAGTTTAAATTCTAAATAATATTTTTTTTAAATGATAGTTATAGGCATGATCCATATTCTTGTATTAATAGTTTAAACAAAAATAATTTGCCTAAGGCAGGGTCATTCGTAAATTACATCACGTTAAAAATAAACTTTTTAGACACCCCCTCCCCTTGTCACGAAATGTCACAAATTCTCCCCCTCCCCCCTTGTCACATCACCTAAAAAAACTCAAAACATACATAAAATTTTCATAACTAAACTAAGATATTATTTTATTCTTCAACATTTTCCCATAATGCAGCAGTTCTAAACCTGTGGGTGGCGACCCCTTTATGGGTCGAATGACTCCTTTAAAGGTGTCACATAAGACAATCGGCAAATGCATATCCTCTACAGTTATGAAGTACTAACAAAAACAATTTTATGGTTGAGGGTCGCCACAACATGAGGAACTGCATTCAAGGGTCGCGGCATTAAGAAGGTTGAGAACCACTGCTATAATGATAAGATGCAGTATTACTAGAAAACCGAGTTTCATGGTACCATACTATAATACCTGAGGCAAAGTTGACCTCAAATTAATGTTTTAAAAATCAATTAAATTGTGATTTTTTTTTACGAATTAGAAACTTTTAGAGATGAAAAAAAGTGACGTCACAATTTTTGACCCCCCCCCCCTTTCCCCCTCCCAAAAAGTGTCGCATATTCTCAACCCACCCCCTCTAAGCGTGACGTAATTTGCCAGTGACCCCTTAATGTGAAAATTTACTTATAAAATAGTTTTAAATAGATATTTAGCAATGATCAAACCTTGATAAATTACTACAAGGGAAAAAACGGCAGAGTCCATTTTGACCCCACTCTCTACTATAAAGAAATAAATCATGTTACATTCAAGTTTGAATTAATTTATCTATTTAATAACTCAGGGAAATGGACACTCTTGTGAAATGCATTTTAAAAATTACATTTTGTTTACACATTTTTAATGTGCATGGTTTTGAACTTTAAAAATCGAATATCTCAAAACAACAAAAATGTGACTCTGCTGTTTTTTCCCTTGTGGTCTTCACTTATCACGGCTTAATATAAAGTTCTTTCAATGGAATCATCTCCATACATAAGTTGAAAGGGGGGATAAGATGATGTAAGGGAAACAACTTAAGTCGTCAACATATTCATAGACGGAAATCATCAGAGGGTGGATTTGAGAGACTGTTGTCCGTTTATGACAGCAGAGATGAAAAGATACCGGGACCATGAATAAGCGAACAAAATGTGTGAAAATTATAGGATCAAAGAACAAAGCGACAAGGATACATTTTACTCATGGCTTCAGACGCATTGGGATGGTGACTTGTCATGTGACCTGCTCAATTTTTAACATGAAGAAGTGATTTTTTACTTCAAAGCTATGACAGCTTGTAATTTAGCCTAATGAAAGGCTCCAAACATCCATGCAAAAAATACCAAGGAGCTTCCCTATTAAATGTTTCATAAACAATACTGACAAAACTAATTGCTATAAGACTACAACCGTACACTGAAGAAATACTAGGTGACTACCAATGTGGATTCAGACAAAACAGATCGACTGATCAGATTTTCACCATCAGATGCTTATTAGAGAAATGTTACGAATATAATATCTCAGTACAACAACTCTATGAGGACTATAAAATGGTCTATGACAGCACACAAGAAAATCTATCTATATAAGACTCTGCAGGAGTTTGACATACCCAGCAAACTAAAACAACTGATACATGTAACATTAAACAAACCAAAAAAGCAAATTAGAGAGAGTTATAAAAAGCATAGGCCTACATATTGACACACGAGGAACGACAACAGGATACTTTCTGAGGGAGCCCCAAGACTCACAACCGATGGGCACTCTCTACAATCAACCCCATTCCATTATCTTGCATATGCTGATGACATAGCACTGTTAGGGAAAAGTAGGAAAGACATATCAAAAGTCTTTTATTGAATTGCAAGATGTATCACTACAAACTTGTAGGGCTGGAAGGTAACCAAACAACAAAATACTATGATAAGAGAAGAACATACAGATGAAGCCATCAAAATTAGAAACCATGCTTTTGAAAAAGTAAATCAATTCAAATACCAAGGATCTTTATGAAATGAAAGAAACGAATTACTAACAGAAATGAAAGAAAGAATATCAGCCGGAAAAAAGGCCACACTTCAATAGTCAGAAAATACTCCAAAAAAAAACATTACAAGAAAAACAAAGAAAACGATTTATAAAACTGTATCTGGACCCTAAAAAAAACGGCAGAAAACATATTAAACGTCAAAAATTCTCAGGAAAATATATGGATCAATAAAGGATGAATATGGATGGAGAATACGAACCATCCATGAATTGTGCACTCTCTATCAGGATCCCGCGAGTAGCAGAAATAAAAAAGGGGAGGCTCCGCTGGGCAAGACACTTAGAATGCCAAATGACAGAGGAGTGAAAAGGGTACATCACCAAAACCCCAGAGGAAAACGGCTTATAAGCAGACCTAGGCTTAGTTAGATGGATGGATGATGTGAAAAAAAGATCTACAGCAGCTGGGAATCCAAGCATGGAAAAGAAAAGCATCAGTTAGAGGTCTGAGTGGAAGGAAATAGTAAGGCAGGCCAAAGCCCTACATGGGCTGTAGCTCCACAGGGATGGGATGAACTAAAATTTATTCAGCTTTACTGCATGTAACATTAGGATTCAGGCTTATCTCACCAACAGTATTAGCAACAGGATTAAAAAATTATCAAAAATTTAATACATGTAAATGTGATTTATTATGATCAAAGTTTTTAGGTCTAATCCTGCCGCGCGCCCCCCCCCCCCCATCATTTTTTTTTCAAATGATCCAAAAATTGCTTTATTTATAGCCAATTTAGAATCTGTTTCTTCATTGATGGCAAAATATCTGAGGCAGTGCAATCTTGAAAGCTCAATTGGCATTAATTGTTTCTTCATTAAATGGACAATAGACAACATATATCAGGTACTCCAATTAGAAAGCATATATGAGGTTGTCCAAGTTTTCACTAGAATAAACCTGCCTTAGAAAAGTTAAGAGCAAAGATTAATTATATTTTTATCTAGTGTTCCTCTCAACATAAATGATAAATAATAAAGTCATTATTGTCTCTCAAATAAACCCCTTAAGTGACTGATTTCTAGGCCAGAAAAATACTTCAAAAGTCTTGTGTTTAAATTCTTATAATTGTAAAATGTCTTGGTTAAAATATGTTTTTATTTTTGTGGAGAAAATGAATATGTACAATGTAATCAACAAACATTTCCATTTATTTGGATCAATTAAAGAATCTCCAATGATACAGTGAAAGAAAGGGTTCATCAGGCAATTGGGGAGTAAGATGACCTACTGGTGACTGTGAAAAAACGCAAATTACAATGGTACGGCCATGTAACAAGGAAACAAGGGCTTGCCAAAGAAATATTGCAGGGCACCACAAGAGGAGGGAGAAGAAGAGGAAGACAAAGAAAAAGGCGGGAAGATAACATCAAAGAGTGGACAGGACTAACACTGGGCAATGCAGTGCGTAGTGCTGAAGACAGAGAGGAATGGAGGAGGATGGTTCACATGTCATCTGTGGCGCCCCCACGGTCCAAGGACTAAGGGACATGAGGATGAGAAAGAATCTTATCTTATTGGTTATAAAATATTATTTAAAGTTGATATGCATATAAGAGTAATTGCAAAGTGAAATCATGTAGTGGCACAGCAAAACTCAATAGTGGTTTTTATTTTCCTTGGTAAGCTGCGACATGCAGGAGTCTGATGAACGTGAACGGTGTGTCGCAAGATATATGAATTAATAAAAATGGGAGTAAAATAATTATTTGTGGGCATTTAAACTATTAATGTGTCATGCCTGGGTTCCACTGTATCTCAATTGGGACTTGTGTCCAAAATCTGTATCTTTCAATAGCATCTCTCTCACATTTCTTTAGATTTTTTTTACACTACGTCAAAGGATGCAAAGAGCTATATTACACATTACAGTTCAAGGGTGGGAAGGGAGGGATAATGAAATCAAAAATTTCACTAATTCATCGATGTGTCTGGAATCAATAACTAATTTTATTTTATTAAGAAGACTATTTGCAGACCTGTTTACTCTTTCAATTTTGGCATAAAATGTACGATTTTGAGATGTATACATTATATATGTTGTATGTTTATTTTTTACTATACACTACAAAGAAAGATAATGTATTGAGCGATTATATGATGATTTGTGTGATTTTAAGAGTTTGAGGTCAAACAGGTCTGTATTTGCCAATGTTAAAGTTAGTTTAATCCTTTATTGTTGTTACCTGCAAATGTTACACAATGGCAAAAAGTATCGGTCCACTCTTTGAGGGGGAATAAGGGGAGTAGGCGGTATAGCCCAACGTTTTAAGCTACATCACAGTGAGTCGACTCCAAAAACTGAGCACACCAGTTTGTTTACTGACATTTTTTGCGCAGAAATACACACACAAGGTAGGCAAACAGTTAAAGAGCACTTTGTCTATAAAATCTTCAGATTAAATAAAAGGAACAACACTGTCAGTAAATAAGTTTTTTTTTAATTTACACTTCAAAAGAACAAACTGTTCAGATATGGGTAAAATTAATGGTGTCTATATTTCAGCATGTATAAAATTCCTAATAAAGGAAAATGAAGATATTAAACTCTGAAGAACTCAGTTACTGTATATTACCACATATAACATATTCCCCTTTTAATGCCAACCCCTAACTTTTTATTTGGAGAAGCCCTAAAATGCTATGTCAATGTATAATGCGATCTGTTCACCTTGTACCATAATAATACAATACGTATTTACGAAATAAATATTTATTTATAAAAAAATGTCAAAATCCTTTAAAATGAACTGTGGTCATACCAATACAATTATACCAATATCCTGTCAAAGGGGCCCTACTTACATCAATGGTGTTATGTGCAGATAGGTTGTCTACTTGGTTGCTGCATTAGGGTGCGTAAATAAGATTGGTTGTATAATAAAACATTTCGTATATACATGCTCGTACAATGCAACCCCTTAGTTTTAATTAACATTTTCTACCCATGATTCCTCACATGTATGTGGTCATATATGGTAGTTTTATCATTTACAACACTAGGAGATATAGTTCCTTCCTAAACTTCTGTTACAGTTTTGGCAAAACATTTTCTTTTAATTTCTCCAGGTTATGACTGCAGGCATGTGTTAAAAAATCCAACCACTTTGAATCTTCATTTTGGGTCAGGTTGCTGTCTCTGAAAAAATCATACAGAGATAAGAAGATTATTACAGAGAGAGCCAACAGTAAAAGTGAATAATAACATTCTACATATAAACAAAATAAAATCTACAAAAAAATGTTTTAAAATATTGATTTCAAACTTTTGTGGTATTACCTCAGAAATTTCAGAATGTTCCTTATAAGTTCTGAAAGAATTTCTCCCTGTAGATTAAAGTCACATGAAGTAAATATTACACAGAAAAGTCAGAGTAACTTTATAATTAAAAGCATTTCTCCTGCTGTCACAGTCACAGTACTACATTTTCAATAATTGGCAAAATGTTGTTTTTAAATTACACAACTCATTTTTCCGACTTTCTCAAATAAATGTCTGTTTCCTCCTTTATCAGGTACCGTATCATGTTTTGAAGGATCTTGTCAAAGTTATTGAATTACATTATGCTTACCAGTATTGTACTTTGTTCCAATATATTGGATTTTAAACTGAGTTGTATTATAAACTTATTGCTGACGATTTTGATTGTTGATTTTGTTCATCACTTATAAGTTAATAAAAATATTTTTGCTTTCGATGAAACAAAATTATGAGATATCAAGGTTTCTTTGAATCATTTATTTCCATGAATGAGATGTATAAATAATAGAAGGGCTTTAGAGGAAAGTGGGTAATTCCTGTAACAACACATGCCTGTCAACAAACTAAAAGTATGTTGTTTCACTTCTTTTAACATTTTAACAGAAACAAGGTATAAAGTTTTCAGCTTTGAAGTTATCTATTTTTTTTTTATGAACATGAATTTAAATCAGAACAAAACAAGAGAAAAACTCAGTGGGCAAGGAGTTGATACTTAGATTCAGCTTTACCACATATCCTAAAAATAAGTCTGCACTGGAAGGGAATGGCGATTAATAGCCAAAATATGTTTATTAATCTACCATTACTAAATCAAATACTAATCAACTTACATTGTTTGTAAATGTTTCATAATTTACTTCTGCATATATCCCAGAGACTAAATCATCCACAACTCTGCTCACTTCGGATGTCAACGTGACCAACTCGTCTAATGTGGCTATCCCTTCTCTGGACTCAGTGTCTCCATGTTTTTCAACAGATTCTTGTGCTTTTTTAATGACATTCTTCATTGTTTTTACCTGGTGTTAAAAAGATGGTTAAAGTAATTCTAATAATAAATATTAGAATGAGTTTATCAAAGCTCACACACAGCAGAAAAATAAATTTTGAAAGAGAAGTTAAGAGTTTCATCATACTGACCAGCCCAGAGCTGGTTTTAAGGACTGTAATGTCTTGCTCTGACCATGGCTGAGTACTGGGAGTCTCAACATTTAGAGAAAATTCATCTTCAACTCCTTCATTTAATATTGCCTAGGAAAATAGAAAATAATAGAACTTAAGAGATATAACTAAAAAGAAAGAGGCGAAGAATGCTCATCAGCCAAAATTGATGACCGATATTATTGATAAAAAAAAAAGAACAATAAAAATCATACTATTGTCCATAAAAAATTTTTGCAACGGATTTTAATTTTTTTTTTGAAAGTCACTTAGTACGAGATGATTGGTATTTAGGTTTGAATTATTCCCTAACATTGTAATATACATATTCAGTGAGAAAATGTCAGTGTTAATTGTATAAAATGTCACAATACAATAATTTGCTTCGGACTAATCTGAAGTAAATATCAAAGAGCAACAATCAATTTGATAAAATAAAATATTTAAGTACCTGATCTAGTTCTTCTAGTGCATCAGTCACAAGTTCAAAGGTTTCTTTCAAACATTTAGATGCACACTCTTTGTTATCTGTGAAATATGTTGTTTGAATGAATGCATTAAATCCTAGTTTCAGTATTGAGTAAAGATTTAATTTCCGGTATTTAAAAACAATAACATCCTAAATTGTGTTACCTTTGTTTAATCAATACAAAGTCCAAATACCTGGTACCATTATGTATAACATAAGAACTTTAAATGTTTTTTATTCAAGCAAGTAATTTCTAAGAAGGTCTGATTTAAAGAAAAAAAGTCTAAAATAGTCATTTGTGTGGGTTTTGAGAGTATTAGAACACGTCCTTTATTTTTAAAATTAAGTAGATGTCTAATTGTAATCATTGTTTGGAGACACAATGGAGCATGGTAATACAATAACCTTTCAGAAGTTCCAAGCTGACAGCATCCCAAACTCCTCCAGTCCATTGTATTCTTTGATCTCCACTGTTGAAACATAAACAATACATAAACACATTTCTTGAAAGTGTGAAAAACAGATTTAAAAATATGTAATCAATAGAAAATAAAAAAAACTCTACCTACTTGGTGTTAAGAGAATTAACGCAGTCTGACAAAGAAGAGACAAATCTTTCTAGACTTTCAAGAATCTGAAGCACAGTTTGCTGGAACTGACACCGCAGTGTTTTACCTGTTTGGAAGAAATTTACAAAGAAGGAAACCATTAAATAAATATCAATCTCAAAAGAAAAATATGATAATTAAAAAACACTTTTGTTCACAGCTCATACAAAATTCCCAAAATTGTTTTTAAAAAAAAGTTTTAATGTTTGTATTTATCTTTGAATTAAATAATTAGCAGCACAATTTTTTTGTTGAACATTTCACAGCTAACAACTTGACTTGTGCAGTAAATTAAAAGCCGATACTGGTCATAAATACTTTCCCACTTTTTATAAAAATTACCTTGTGAAATGGGAAGAGAATAGTAAATAGAAACAAGTGCTAACATGCTCTTCTCTAGCTCGTGTACTAATGCTTCAGTGTTCTGTCAGAATGGGAAAAATACTGTGATTTTTGAAATAAAACAATGAATTTGGAAGACAACTTAAATTTTTTTATTAAATTTGAGTGTAAATAAAACCACTAAAATTTAAAATATATTAAGAGCCTTAATTATGGCTAAGCAATAAATGCAACTTAATTTAACTAATCAAAGATGTAAGACTATACGAGGACTTGTTATGTTTTCTTCAAATGTCCTTCAATTTACATTTTCTATGTTTGTGCAAAAGAGTCAGAAAACTTATAAGAAGAACAAATCAATATCAATCAAATGTAATACATTTCTAAATAATAAAAAATTAAAAATTCAACCAAATCAATTAAAATGGTCTTACTTTATTTGATGGAAATGGCTTTTTTGAAAATGCCAGTGAAAGTTTTGTGGTTTCCATCGAAAGTACTTTGAAGATAGCAGCTGAAAAAATTAAAGTCAATATACCCAACTGTACTGTATTAGATAATAATCACCAGAGACTACACATGTTAACAACATTTTCTAAGCTAGAATTTCTTTGAATATGTCTGAGAATTAACGGGCTTTGCCCTAATTATCTGTCGTGAACTCACCAACATTATTCCAGTATTGATCTCTATTGAAATCTGAAGGTTCCTCTCGTTTGCTCTCTCCATCTGTAAAAAAAAAAAAAAGTTGTCAGTACCAGTACTGTGATGATTGACATTAATCGTTAATGCAGTAATTAAGCTAAAAACTATTTAGTTACTCTAGGATTATACGTAAATTATAATATAAATATTCACTTGAGTAGCTAAAACTCTGTAATGTCAAGTTTATGATGCTTAAGTAAGACAACCATTTCCCTATTCATCTTAAGTACCTCAGATGATCAGTTTTGTGTTAGAAAAGCTCTTCATTTTAGTAGGCTCTAATTCAGGCTAATTAAAACTAATTTATTTTATAACCTACAAATACAAAAGTGAGGTCATCTCAAAGAATGAGTGAATTATGTATTATTAAAAAGGATGAGTGAGTTATTCTGTTTCTAACTTAAAATTGTTAACCCTTACTCTTCCAGTAGACATGCATCATGGGAAATGATTAAAGGTTATTAACACTGTTGAGCCCACTTCTAGTACTAAATTTATATTAAATAATCTTTTATTCTACTAACAATTTGTGTCTAGGCCCATAAATAATAAAAGTTTAAGTATAAAAAGACAAATGGTTCCAAGCCTGTCCTAAGGGCACCATGCACACTTCTTAGGGGCTTCACTGCCATTCCAGGAAATAAAATATCACTATTAACTTGTAAGTCATAGGGTCAGCAGTAAGCCTAATGGGCTACCCCAAAGAAATTGATTTTAAAATGGCTTTGTGAGCAGAAAAGGTTGGGAACCTATGAAATAGACTAATGAGAACAGTTGACTTGAATGTTGAAAAGTATCCTTAGCCCTTTTCATAAATGACAGAGTGGGCCCTGGCAATGAAGAAATGAGCGAAACAAAGTATGGGAAAAATAAATAAAAAAAAGGATGCAACAAACAAAAAATGTCAGCAAGAAGCCTTCTTCTAGTGGCTATTTTTTAAAATATTATTTTTACTGTTGTTTGTTCTCCCCTAGCCAGCTAAAATTATATATGAACTGAGAAAAAGGGACATTACTGAAATGAATGGTATAGCCAGTATAGCAGTATGGAGCCACAAACCTTTTGTTAGAATAAATAGTGAAACAAGATATGCTTAGGCTTAAACAAACAAAAAACAAGCAATTAAAAGAGACTGAATGCCTTTTTCAGCACACAATACAATAGAAACAATTTCTACATAGAGACTGAGAGAGCAGCATTGTGATCTGGGAATACTTTAAGTTTCGTAATTTTTGCTGAAGACAGCATTTAGCCGAAACATCCTTTTAATTGTTGTCTTTTTTTCCAAGCCAAAACATACCTTGTTTCACTATTTATTTACTTCACACAGCTTGTCAGCAGAGCCCTAAATATTATGTTATTTCTTAACAATCAAAATACAGCAGTTTAGTTATGTGCACATCTTTTTCACCTGTGGCCATTTAGGCTTAACAGCAAGGATAAGTTTTTAGACATTCCTTTTTAACATTGTAAGTTGAATTTAGTAAAAACGAATGTAACATTTTGTATTAATATATATCATATAAACTTTAACAATCGTCAGATGTAGTAGTGGCCAATGTTTAATTTACGGTACATGTTTAGACAAGAGTTGTCTCACCATAAGAGCAGTGACTTCCCAGCAAGCCTACATTTACAGATATTCAAAAACATCCTTAAAGGTCCAACTACTGATCTACTCATCCTGTTGAGTATTGGGATTCCCCAAAAAATATGACTCTCTGCTTCGGGGGAGATAAATCTTGGCAAAACTCATACTGCTAACCCCACCCTTACAATTTCCACTACTGCTCATATCTTGTAACGTAACTATACCCTTCGCACTAGGGGGTAGTAGGATTTTAATTTAAGTGTTGGGTAATTAATGGCATTAATTTTAGCCAGGCCTGCTTGAATAATAATTGTATTAATAATAGTAATCCTACTTAATGATAATTACAAAATTACCTGATTATAATAAATTAATAAATAATTAATCGTCTAATACTAATACGTTATTTATAGGGTAAATTTGGAGATAACACTGTGGCCGCTATCTTGGTTACCGCGACCTGGGACTAATGTCCTAAATGTATCCCTCACTATAACCTGAACTCTAGATCTATCCCTACACCTAACCTGAACCCTAAACTTTTCCCTAACCTGGGTTTTGACCTTATGGCCTTTGAACCAGGGTTTTGAACCTATCGGAACCAGGGGCAAAATATGCAAATGACATCATGGTGTTATCTCTCCAAATTAGCCATTTATAGTGTAATTATTATTATTAAGTAAATTATACTAAATTGAAGTCATTACTATCAAACTATCGTATTCTATAGTTAATAAGTTAATTAATAGTAATAATATTAATAGTATTAACAATTTAATTTAATTTAAATATTATTAATATTAATTAATAATATCTAATTAATTGCCTCTTTCTTACCCTTAATTTGTAACGATACCAGACCGATGTTTTCTTGTAGATTCTTAAAGATGTCTGTTTGTTTAGTTACCAAGTCATCAGATGCCATGCTATCTATTCTGACAGTAATTAGTTTCTTTATTGTAACAGTAATAGTAACTAAAATTTAACTTTTGTTTTAGCTTCAGCCCAGTGTGTAATTTAAGTTTTTTAGAGTTACTGTTACTGATAGTTTAGTGGCTAGTGGAATTACCAAATTCCCATTTCAAACCGAGACAATTTCGAAATAACAGAATTTGATAACATACAAATTATTTTATATGCATTCATGAAACTAATTAAAAAGATAAAAGACAGTGTGGACTAACAATGTAGGGCTCGTGGACATACATTGAACCACCACTTTGAAAAACACTGATGAAGATCATTAAAAATAGGCAGTGTCTACACGTCCGGCGCGCCGGACGTCTATCTCCCGCACTATGTGTCCGGCGACCAAGTCACATGACCGCCGTAACAAAGTGGCGAGAGATATCGTGTCGGTCAGCCTTGTCACGTGACTGCGAATAATTCAAAACTATTGTTAATTTTAAAATCTATTTCTCTACCAAGTAATGTACTGAGTATCTTGAATGCAAATAATAGAAAAAGAAACTTGTAAACATTTTTGTTTAGTTTGTTATTTTTTGTGTACCAGTAATCCATAAAATAAATTAGGGGCCAGTGTGGCAACCAATAAAAGTTAAAGATTTCATTTTAAATTATTTCAATTGCTACAAAATAT